CAGTGTACAACTTGCTCTAGCAGTGTATATTTTGTTGTAGCAGTGTACAACTTGCCCTAGCTGCTGAAAATTCAGCCCGATACTTGAAATGAAGTAAAGTTTACAGTGACAATGATATCTCATGTTTTCTTCATCAGAAAAAAAATGTTTAGAGGAAACTGTTGTGAATCAGACATGTCACTCCATTAATGGAGAATGGGGACTTTCATGAAATTGATTCCACAGTCCCTTTGAGATAGCTTTGGGATAGCTCTGTAAATCAATTTGTAAATGATTAAGGCCAGACATATCTAGAAAATGTCAGATAAAAACAATCTGTTTTCAATTTTACAAGTTGTACAATATGTTTCAATCTGGAACAAATACCGGATAAAGAATAGGACCGAATCTATTGAATTTAAGCCAGGTCGCTGAACCCCTGAGCCGGTTCAAATCTTATATCATCGATACAAAGTTAAAGTAGGTTCTGCGGTTTCTGTGTCCGAATTTAATGAATTTAAGCCGCGTCTAAAATCCCCAAAAACTGGTTTCAATTGAGCGCCGGCTCAAATCTTGAAAATTTTAATACAAATTTAAGTGGAACCAACCAAATTTGAGCCGCGGCTTACATTTAAAACGCGGCTTAAATTCTTTAAATTCGGCCTCAGATTGATTTACTGGTAAAGTTTAACGCTTTTTAACACTTTTAATATTTTTTATCGAGTATTAAAACATTTAGTTAATTTTTTTCCTTTTAGGGTTTCAATCTTTTCGCAATTAATTCCACTTTTTCAGTGAGAAATTTACAAAAAAAAAACGTAAAGTTTAAAATAGAGATGCATTTCCAGATAAATGGCACTAAATCTATCTTAGTTAAAGACAAAGTTGAGACAGCAAATCTTTTATATTGAGCAAACTTAAATCTATAAAAACGAAGTTTGGAATATACACTAAACAAAGTATCAGGGGTTTAAAGAGACTGTTAACAAAATTTAAAGTTACCCTCCATGCAAAGATGGTATATTACCTGATTCACAACAGTAACCCGCAAACCTGATCAATAATTTTATAGAGACCAAAAACAAGGTTTAGGGGGGAGGGTTGATATCTATGTGTGAAATGCAAAAGTAAACAGAGGTAAACAAGAATGAGAAAAAAATATTAGAAAAAAGATGTATGGGCTTATTTAATGCAGTAAGAAAGTTAAAAAACAAAGTTAAATTTAAAGGAGTTGAGTTTTTGCCACAAACTCTGATTTTCTAATCTCTATATCTTTGCAACCCATTGCCGTAGATCTTAGATATTTAAACTATTAATACTTATAAATAAAATAACCTTAGTTTGAAATATCAAAGGTGTACACCATAAGGTTGCAAAGATATTGGAATCAGAATATTTTAGCTTGTGACAAAAACTCAATTCCTTTAAAATGTAAAACCTGAAAATTTAAGTACAAAAATGTAGAAAAAATGAATGAATGCATGTTTCGTCATTTGTAAGGAATCTTTTAGAAAAGTATTGGTTAGTGTCGAGCTTTACATCAATCCCTGATTATTTGTTTTGTGAGATTTATACAATTATTTTACAAATACATGAAAGTACATTAACAATATTTTAAAGGGACTGTTAGCGAAATGTAAAGTGACTCTCCGTGCAAAGATGACAGTGCCTGATTCGCAACAGTGCATAAAACCTTTATCTGATCAAAAATGTGAAAGACATTGTTGTTGTTGTTGTCTATGTGTACAATTGTTTAATTCAGATAATTCAAATACATGTTTTCCTACACTAGAAATGCGCAAGTTGAGCTTATGATATAGAAAACACAATTAAGAATAATCAAATTAAAAATTACCAACATTAATATATATATCATACTTGATCACACAAAGCTTTTAAGCTGGTACTGTTCTGAATTGGGCTTTGCCATCTTTGCATGTATGCAGGTCACTTGAAATTACGCTTACAGTCCTGTAACCTAATAGTCTTAAATAACCCTAAAAAAGACTAGTTCATGACACACACACACACCCCTCCCTCCAAAAAAAATATCCCTTGATCACACCGCCAGATTAAGAAATACTCATGTGGGGGGATCTTGAAGAAGGATGGGGGGGGGATTTGTTCAAGAGGATGAAAAATCCCCCTGCTTTTGGATATATACGGGTGAATGATCAGATTTCCCCCACCTGTTACCCTTCACCGGGGCAACCTCCATATTGGAGATTTCACTCAAAAGAGAAGAATTAGAAATATCATTGGGGGAAATATTTTTCAAAATATTTTTTAAAAAATCATCTATTTAAGAACTAAATAAATGGCCCTCAATTGGAGCTTTATAGAAAATGGGATACACGTAAGGAAAATTCGATCAAGTTTTGTTTATGATCAAAATTTCATGAATCTCATATTTTTGTTAAAAAATAAAACTAAATCTGTGAAATTTCTCTGATCTTTTTCTCTCACAGTTACACGAGCCAAGAAGATACAGTTCATTGTCAACTCCATTCTAGGGTATCCCGCAGAGCAAACTTTTGCTCAATTCTGCACAGATTTACTTGACAGAATTCCACAATTTTGTGCAAAAATTAATTTTTCGCATACAAGTGCATATTTTCTGTGTAAGGAAGTGAAAAATGCGGAATTTGAAGCGAACTAAAAAGTTTGCTGTAAAATGTGCAACTTGCACGCCAGGATTTTTCTTAAAATCCCTACTTCATTCACCTGTTTGCAAAATTCAAATTGAACAATAAACAAATCAAAAGTTTGCGCCTGTAGTAAAAATGTGTGCAAAAATTTGCTTTTAGTAGATGTGTTTAAGTATCATAAAGGGAAGTGATGATATGAAAATAAAGGTGCAACTTTCAAAAAGTCATTTTCCCAAGGGCAACTTCCCAAGAGACAATTTCCCTAGTGACAACTTCCAAAATGAGCAACTTCCCAATTAGCAACTTCCAAAATGTACATTTTCCCAAATGACAATTTCCCAAGTGGCAACATCCCCCTGTAGGAAAAACGACATTTTCCCGATGAAGGACGTATTAAATGAACATTAAAGTTTTGAAATGTTTAAAAAAATTTCTCAACCTTTTTTTTAATAAAATACGCAACTTAAAAAAATTCACTCAGTTTCTCTCAGAACATGTTGGCGGCCTACACCATTTCCTCAAAGTTTAAAAATCATTAAACAATCATTACTTTTAGTTACAGTTAGGTTAAGCCTTCTGAGACTAGGATGGTCTAGGGGGCCAAACGCTGCAGCTAAGATGGGCTAGGTGGCTGAGCACTGCGGCTATTACTTGTTATTGTAAATTATTCAAGGAAATTGTTACTTGGGAAAATCATTTGGGAAAATGTTCATCTGTGAAGTTGCCGCTTTTTCTTCATGGGGAAGTTGCCACTTGGGAAATTGACATTTGGGAAAATGTTCATTTGGAAAGTTGCCGCTTGGGAAATTGCACTTTTGGGAAGTTGTCACTTGGGAAAATACCTAACATCAAAATATATACCCCTCAAGTAAATATTTAATCCTTTAAGAACTAGAATAGCTAAAGGGCTGGAATCTGAGTAAATTAAATATATTGTACTGGGCTCCAAGCTCTGAACACTAGGACTGCAAAATTGAATTTAAATTGAAACGTGAAATGCAGAATTGGAAAGGAAAAGGATAAAGCGGGAAGATTGACGGGATACAATACACGGACTGATTTATCCTTCAGAAGAAAGAAGGATTTGGGGGAAAGACTCTTATTTTATCTGTAACAAACTGAAAGGACTATCTTTGAATCCCGATTCAAATTCATGATTCTAATTTTCCTGAAAGTAAAGGACATTGTAAAGAAATGTTATTTTCACTAACCTGTGTAAAATATCTTTTTAGATTAGCGGAATTCAATTAAAATTGTTGCATACCAACAAAAAATCATGTAAAGGAATGCCAATTGCACTTTACTCTCACTAGAAGGAGAGGATTCATTTAGCGTATTGTCCCGTTATGCCGTCTATAGTTTGTATTTGTAATGTACAGCTTGGTCTAGCTGCTTTAAAGTTTGTCTGCCTCTTCAAATGAACCACAGTTTTCAGTGATTGCCCATAATAGAAAATAGAAAACACTGAAATGGATGATAATAGAATTATTTTCTTTGTTTGATTTATATGATGATTAGAGTGCATGGAGGACCTTATCCTAAAGTCTACAAATTTAAGTTGAATTTTTAAAGAAAACAAGCTCCAGGATAAGATTTAGACTTTTTACTCTTACCTTGTGTGTAAACCAGCAACAAATATATTTGCCATTGAAAAAAAGGAAATTTGACAACAAAAAAATTTGATATTTTTTCACAAGATTTAATTGATTAAATCAAAAATTTGTTGTCAAACTTTTCAATTCCCATGAGAATTAAGGAAAATAGGTAGAAGCAATTAAATCAAGGTTATAACTTTGCATGTTATAGACTTTTGTAGAACAATCCTTTCATCTTTTGAACCAGGGCTTTCAGTTTGTTCTTTAACACACTGACCCCCCCCCTCCAAAAAAAATTTGGTTAGTTTTTGAATATTAATTGTTGCCGATCCTTACTTTTAAGGGCATTCGCAAAAGGTAATGTTTATGCATAATTGTTTTCTCATTTTTTGAAATCAGGAGTTTTGCTTTAATTATTTCATTCATAAATAATTCTCTGTCAATGATATTATTATTTAAAACTATTAAATATAGAAAACTTATTTTGCCTTCCACTGTGTTTAATACATCTTCAATAACGACCATTACATAAGTTTACATTATGGTTTGGCAGAAACTTTTAGTAATTAAACATTCCCATTCATGGTTTAATGGAGGGTAATAAACCCCTTCTATTTAACAAGATCCACCCCCCCTCAAAAAAAAAACTAACCCTGTAATCCTCTGGGATCAAATTGAGTCTAAGATATCATATTTCAACGGATTTTTTGTCAAAAGTTGAATATCCTCTTAAAGATTTAGAATTTCTAAAATATTGTTTACAATATTGTTTATGTTCCTTGATATCTGCGTCGGTTGAGGTCTTGTCTCGGGGATTTGTCTGGTATCACTGTATCCGGGTGGTGATATGGAAGGGTATAAAACCGGTTTGGATTCAAATGGTGGGAAATCTGTCCACAGTCCACTGTACAGCTGTACGCTCCCTGGTGCGGTAAAGTTCAATACTTGAATTGATATGCTAATTTTTTTGAAATTTCAAATAATCCTGTAAATGCTATTTAGATATTTTTGCCTAACAAAATCCACATTAATAGAATCTCTAAGGCAGGATTTTGAAAATATGATTTTTTGTACATGCAGTTTGTTCCACTAAACATATTAATAGAAAGACGACTTATGCCCTAACTTTCATCATTAATAGATACTTCATACAAAGTCTGTGTATGATGTTTGTTACTTTTTAAGCTTTCCAGTATGTGGTGTACCTTTTTCAATCTTAAAAATAAAAATAATAAAATGAATTGTTTATACAGTTTTCATTCTATTCACTAAGAAGAAAACTCATCTTTAATACTTGCTAAAAATGGATAAAAATTACTAAAAAATCATAGTAAATTTAAAAGAAATGGATTAAAAATTACGAAGAAAGGATTAAAAATAATTAAAAATTGATAAAAATTAATTAAAAATGAACTTTAAATGGATTAAAAAATATTCCAAAATGACGCTCAAAACTGTCATGGCCATATGGAATATTTTTGCACATTATTCATTCCTCTGTCTAAAAGTTGAAGTTGATAAATAGTTAGAAAACAAGTTGAAACTAACCACTGCTGGTTATTTGTTTCAATCCTGCCTTTTCATTTTATTCAACTTTAATATACATTTGTACAGATATCCACACCAAACTGTGAAATTGGAGGACGACATTAAAGCAATCATAAAATCTATACTCTAAGGTGTATCCAACTATAAAAGCTATACTCTAAGGTGAATGTATCTATGAAATCTATACTCTAAGATGTATCCAACTATAAAATCCATACTCTAAGATGTATCCAAGTATAAAATCTATACTCTAAGATGTATCCAAGTATAAAATCTATACTCTAAGATGTATCCAACTATAAAATCCATACTCTAAGATGTATCCAAGTATAAAATCTATACTCTAAGATGTATCCAACTATAAAATCCATACTCTAAGATGTATCCAAGTATAAAATCTTTACTCTAAGGTGTATCCATCTATAAAATATATATTCTACAATGTATCCAACTATAAAATCTATACTCTAAGGTGTATCCAAGTATAAAATCTATACTCTAAGGTGAATCTAACTATAAAATTTATACTCTAAGGTGTATCCAACTATAAAAGCTATAGTCTAAGGTGAATGTATCTATAAAATCTATACTCGAAGATGTATCAAACTATAAAATTTATACTCTAAGGAGTATCAAACTATAAAATCTATACTCTAAGGTGTATCCAAGTATAAAAGCTATATTCTAAGATGTATCCGACTATAAAATCCATACTCTAAGATGTATCCAAGTATAAAATCTATACTCTAAGGTGTATCCAAGTATAAAATCTATACTCTAAGGTGTATCCAAGTATAAAATCTATACGCTAAGGTGTATCCAAGTATAAAATTTATACTCTAAGGTGTATCCGACTATAAAATCCATACTCTAAGGTGTATCCAACTATATAATCTATACTCTAAGGTGTATCCAACTATAAAATCTATACTCTAAGGTGTATCCATCTATAAAATCTATACGCTAAGGTGAATATTTATGAATTATAAATGATGTTAAGGAATAAAGCTTGAATAAAATGTTAATGTCTGTACCGAGCAGAGTAAATAAGATAAAACCTGGAATACGAATGTTCTTTCTTCAAGAAAATGTTGAAATAGAATATATTTGTCCAGAACAGACATCTTCATTGTATTAATCCATTGTAGGCTTAACTACTTCCGATGCTTACTTCCTCGACTTCCTATTTCCCCATAGCTGTTGCTTAGTAGAGAGGGGGGAGGCAAGTTTGTACCTCCCCCCCCCTTACTTCCAGTGGCTTAGTACAGAGGGGGGGAAGACAAGTTTGTACCTTTTNTAGACTGACCTAATCTGTTCTCTTATTGGTTGAAAGCAATATTTCCTGGCTTTTGATTGGCTGTGAGTTTTTTAATAGATCTCGAAGAATGATTAAATTAATCTACAGATTAACAAAACATCGAGATTAAAACTCTGATTTGATTTTAAGTAAAAGTAAAAAAGCATTGATTGGATAAATAATATTTGCTTTTCTAAGAGAACTGGGCCCAAAAATGATATGAAAAGGAGTAAAGTAATTCAAAGGTTGTAACCTCAAAAAAGTTATGGATACTTTGCCAATTAATTCTAAAAACTGAAGAAAAAATAATTGATCAAGTTTAAGGATACCAAAAAAGTATAAGTGGTTGATGAGATAAAATCAAAGCCAAAGCATTGTGACATCTCAAACTTTTCATAGCTATCTGGATTTATGTGGGATATTGTGTAGACGGAAAAGAAAATTACGGACTCTAAACATAACAAGAACTTTTTAAACCGGACACTTTTCGGCAATTTTTTCTATGCTTCAATACTATCACGTGATTTTTCCTGGATAAAATATCCCGTCCAAAATCCCTAAACTCTAAATTCTTTGCAGAATTAGGTTTTGGAGTCTCCTCTCAGTAAATATAATGGTCCAATAAAGCATACAACTAGGGATGGGTATCGTTTATAGAACTTTTTTTCTAAAAAGATTTAAGAAAAATTTAAGAAAAACAACTGTTTCGCTTTTCGTTTTTTCGTTGTTGACGAAAGGATTTGTTTGTTTTTTAGAAAAGTGAAAACTACCCATCCCTACATATTATCAATTGAATGAACATATTTCCTACTAGGCTAAGCCCCCGGCCCCCCTGGGGAATCAGCTAGGAAAACAATAGTTATCTCGCTATTAGCATAATACACTCATTAGACCAGATCATTAGTGCGATTGATAAATAGAAAACATACTTGAGAGGGAGTTGGAGCTCATAATAGGAGGGGAGGATAAAGGGGAGGGGATTAAACAAATTTTATTCCTCTCCTAAATCTCCCACCTATCTCCCTTAGAATTTTATTAAGGTATTTTGGTAATTTTGATGTCAACATTCTGACATGGTCAGAGGTGAAATGTGCTGCCTATTTTTAAAATTTGCCCGGGGTAAAAATGATATTTCCAAAATTAGCAATATTTTGAATGTTTAAGTGGCGCCGCAGGAAAAATATTTTAAAAAATATTAAAAACAAATAAAAATGATTATTAAGAAGTCATGCTCCATTAAGCTGCCTCTGATTTAGCAGTGCACAAGTGGTTCAACCAAGTCTACGTAGATCAATTACTTTCTAATAAAGGAGTTGAACTATTTCTCTAGTACATTCTTGGCCACATTCGAGAAGTGGTTTATTTATTCATACTTGGTTCAACTCGATATTCATCAATTTCAACCTCAGAGGGTAAACATTTTTTCAAAAATTTGATTAAAATATTCTTAAAAATGAGTAATTAGAAAAGTATAAAGGATTCATCTATATTCCTTTTTGTTGACTTTTTTTCTTGACTTTTAATTGTAAAACACAAAGATAGCGCATTTTATATATTTCTCTTATTTAGAATATTTTTGTTTCCTAAGTAATAGCATATGAAATAATCTGAATGCACCTGAAGAATGTAAATTGCCAAATTCTATGATGTTATGCAAAAATATCCAGTATTGGTGAATATCTGCATACCCATGCAAGGAATATTGCAAAAATAAAATTGCAATAAAGCAGATACTTGTGCACAGTTTACGTGAGAACTCTATGTTCCCCTGTCCCACCCCCCTTTCCCATGAGAACTCTAGACCCCCTGCCCCCTTCCCATGAGAGCTTCCCATTGATTATTTGATTGAATATCTGATTGATTATGAAATTCATTAATTGATTTGTTGATTTATAATGAATTTCATTGATTGATTGATTATCAAATAAAATTGATTGATTGATTGAACTTGTTCCTGTGCTGTGCCGGTTCCTGGATAATCCTGCATTAGAACCCTGGCTCCGAATACGAACTGAATATAAAGGGACTGTTAACTAACGTAATCCTGAGGGATCATTAAATATTAAAAATGCCAGAAACGATTTACAAAAGTGCTTTTAAATCCTTGAAGGAAGAAGACTAGCAGAGCTAGAAACTTTTGTTGATATCGATATTTATTGTGATATCAATATTTACTGTGTGCTTTTTGAGTTTTACGCAAATCTGTTTAATCTGTTCTCTTATTGGTTGAAAGCAATATTTCCTGGCTTTTGATTGGCTGTGAGTTTTTTAATAGATCTCGAAGAAAGCATTGGATACTTAATCACGGTGAGCTAGGGTCAATTTGAATTTGAACTGGACCGACCCCTTGTACCAGCCTTGCTGACGCCCGGCAAGTACTGGCTCGACCCTATCCTACGCCAGCTAGGTTTCATCTTTGATAGCGCAGCCAGACTTTTAACTGTCCCGGCCTATCATAGGCGGGCCTATTCGATCTCTCCCACTATACCTTAGTTTTGTATTTTTGAGATCTTGATCTTTTTGTTAATCTGCATATTAATTTAATCTGTATTCAATATCCTACATGGTAATCCTACCCTGTCAGGGGTTGAAGGGAGCTTTGTTCAGGGGAGAAATAACTAAAATGAAAAGATTAAACATTGATACTCAAATTAAAAGTGCCTGCATTGGATATAAAGATCAAGCGATCATCATTATGATTATCCCAGCTCAGCACTTCATATCGCCTTGATTTAACTCACCTAGATTGGGTGGGATTTGACTACCCTCGTCCATGACCGGATGTCAGCTGAAGTTTAGACTATGTTGACCGGCCTACAGCTAAAGACTAGGTTGACCAGACTTCAGCTAAAGTTTGGATCGACCTGGTCTACAAAAAAAAGCTATGAGAATGGTGTTAAAGCTGAAAATTTTGTAAATTAATCTTACAGTGCATAAAATTAATCTTACAGTGCATAAAATTGCCGAAGAGTATTGTTACAATTATCTCTAAAATGATTAAATTCATTTTTAACAAATTAACAGTTAAAATCTTTTAAAATATTTTAGGAATTAGATGATTTATAAATTAGATGATTTAGGAATTAGATCATTTAGAAATTAGATGATTTAGAAATTAGATAAGTTAGAAATTAGATGATTTAGAAATTAGATGATTTAGAAATTAGATGATTTAGAACTTACATAATTTAGAAATTAGATGATTTATAAATTAGATGATTTATAAATTAGATGATTTAGAAATTAGATGATTTAGAAATTAGATAATTTATAAATTAGAAAACAATTCTCAGAAACTCTTTGAATAATCACATAACTGAAAATTCTGCTTCATTTACGAGTAATGCAAAGTCCCTTTAAAAGAGGGAATTGTATGATTCACAACAGTCCCTGATAATACTTAATTTTAATCTAAAAAGTGGAAGATAACGTTGAAAAGTGTTTTGACTCGAAAAGTGATCATTTCTTCAAATTTTCTTATAAGCAAGTCACTTTTGCAGAGAAACCACAAATTAAAATGAACAGTTTTCAAAATCAAAACCATGGATATCTAATTCATACTTGACCAGACAAAACTTTTAGGGGTACCATTATAAAATGAGCATTACCATCTGTTCATTTACTTGAGATTACACTTACAGTCCCATTAAGTACAGTCCAGACTTTAAGACAGCTAGAGCTGTGTACTCTATACACAGTACACACAGCCAAGAGATGGACAGGACAGTACAGCTAAAGGAGAATTACCTTCTAGTGAGATTTCATTCTCAAAAGCTTGTAGCCATGTTGCTGTACTGGTACTGGTATACTAATAAACACTTTACATTTTCTAATCTGAAATTAATAAATAATTTAGGAACAACTTTCTGGTTCTAACAAAATATTATTTCCTATCTATATTGTATAAAATCTGTGATTAGCAAATAACAAAATTTATTTCCTATCTATATTTATAAATTCTCTGATTAGCAAATAACAAAATATGATTTCCTATCTATATTGTATAAATTCTGTGATGAGCAAATAAAAAAATGTTATTTCTTATCTATATTGTACAAATTCTGTGATTAGCAAATAACAAAATATCATTTCCTTTCAATATTGTATATATTCTGTGATTGGCAAATAACAAAATTTTATTTCCTATCTATATTGTATAAATTCTCTGATTAGCAAATAACAAAATTTTATTTCCTATCTATATTGTATAAATTCTCTGATTAGGAAATAACAAAATTTTATTTCCTATCTATATCGTATAAATTCTGTGATTAGTAAATAACAAAACATTATTTCCTATCTATGTTGTATAAATTCTGTGATTAGCAAATAACAAAATTTTATTTCCTATCTATATTGTATATATTCTGTGATTAGCAAATTACAAAATTTTATTTCCTATCTATATTGTATAAATTCTGTGATTAGCAAATAACAAAATATTATTTCCTTTCTATATCTTATACATTCTGTGATTGGCAAATAAGAAAATATGATATCCTATCTATATTGTTTATATTCTGTGATTTACATTAAAAATCATTATTTATTATCTAAATTGTGCAAATTAAAACATAGCACATCCATATGTTTTATTTCTGTGATTGGCACTACTTTATTGTTAATGTATATTCTGTGATTGCAATTAAGATATTTTTTCTTATCCAAATGTCTGAATTGTGTGAATTATTTCTGTATCCAATCTTTAAATTAATCATATCAAATGATCAAGACAGATAGATAGATAGATAGAAAGATAGATAGATAGATAGATAGATAGATAGATAGATAGATAGATAGAAATATTAATAGATAGATAGAAAGATTAATAGATAGATAGATAGATAGGTAGTTAGATAGATAGATAGATAGATAGAAAGATAGATAGATAGATAGATAGATAGGTAGATAGATAGATAGATAGATAGATAGAAAGATAGATAGATAGATAGATAGATAGATCTTGTATATTAAAAATTCAAACCTTTGGTTGGCTTCCTTTAAGTTTACTCAGAGCTAGAGATTATCTATCTATTTATCTATCTATTTGTCTATCTAACTATTTATATATCTATTTACCTATTTTTCTATCTATCTATCTATCTATCTATCTATCTATCTATCTATCTATCTATCTATCCAGGGATTATGCTAATTTCTAGTTTTCAAAACTTTTCTCATTGTTCTAAATATTACTTCAGTTTACGAACATTTTGTACATTTTGGTTAGAAAAGGGAATCTTAAGAGATATGAAGAAACCCTTATTAACTGCATTTAATTTAAAATTAAATGTTTTTGTTTTTTATGCTTTCTATTTCAAGGTATTTTTTAAGTTTTTTTAACAATTTAGTTTTAAATCAAAAATTTTTAACAAAATTTTTTAAATAGCAGTAAATTTTTTATCTTTTTTTCGCTGATCTGCAGTTTTCAGTTTTGCCAGCTAGGAATGTCTGACTTAACTAATTGAAGGTTCAGTTTCAAACATAAATTCTTCGTTCAATATTCTGACAGGTTGGAGAAAAAAAAATTCACTGTACTGCGTGGTTTGAAAATTCTGAAAATATTCATTGTCATAATGTACTTTTAAAGTTTATTCGAACATTTCATAATCATAAATAGATATACCTAAGCACAATGTAAAAATCTCAGAATTGTTAATAGATTGATTCCAAAAAGGGTTAGGGAAAGTAGGGATTTTGTATGAGATTTAACTCAAAGTGATTCAACGGTTACCAGCTATCATGCAAAAATTGATAATTTTGCCAATTACTTCTTTAAAAAAAAAACACAAAACACACACAAACAAAAAGAATGTTTCTAGAGCTACACAAAAATTAATGTGAGGGGAAAATTTCACATTTATAAATATTCTTTAGAGATGAAATCAGGTGTCAAGACAACCTCATGCTTAGTTCTTATCCTTATATCAGCTTAGTTCTTATCCTTATATCAGCTTAGTTCTTATCCTTATATCAGCTTAGTTCTTATCCTTATATCAGCTTAGTTCTTATCCTTATATCAGCTTAGTTCTTATCCTTATATCAGCTTAGTTCTTATCCTTATATCAGCTTAGTTCTTATCCTTATATCAGCTTAGTTCTTATCCTTATATCAGCTTAGTTCTTATCCTTATATCAGCTTAGTTCTTATCCTTATATCAGCTTAGTTCTTATCCTTATATCAGCTTAGTTCTTATCCTTATATCAGCTTAGTTCTTATCCTTATATCAGCTTAGTTCTTATCCTTATATCAGCTTAGTTCTTATCCTTATATCAGCTTAGTTCTTATCCTTATATCAGCTTAGTTCTTATCCTTATATCAGCTTAGTTCTTATCCTTATATCAGCTTAGTTCTTATCCTTATATCAGCTTAGTTCTTATCCTTATATCAGCTTAGTTCTTATCCTTATATCAGCTTAGTTCTTATCCTTATATCAGCTTAGTTCTTATCCTTATATCAGCTTAGTTCTTATCCTTATATCAGCTTAGTTCTTATCCTTATATCAGCTTAGTTCTTATCCTTATATCAGCTTAGTTCTTATCCTTATATCAGCTTAGTTCTTATCCTTATATCAGCTTAGTTCTTATCCTTATATCAGCTTAGTTCTTATCCTTATATCAGCTTAGTTCTTATCCTTATATCAGCTTAGTTCTTATCCTTATATCAGCTTAGTTCTTATCCTTATATCAGCTTAGTTCTTATCCTTATATCAGCTTAGTTCTTATCCTTATATCAGCTTAGTTCTTATCCTTATATCAGCTTAGTTCTTATCCTTATATCAGCTTAGTTCTTATCCTTATATCAGCTTAGTTCTTATCCTTATATCAGCTTAGTTCTTATCCTTATATCAGCTTAGTTCTTATCCTTATATCAGCTTAGTTCTTATCCTNACCAATCACAGCATAAAGGGACTGTAAACGTAAGTTCAGGATGTTACCTTACTTTTACAAAGGCATTTTCCCAAGCTGCAATTTCCCAAGAGTATTTTCCAAAGTGGTAAATTCCCAAATATTCAATTTCCCAAGCGGCAACTTGCCGCAGCTCTCGGTCCCTAGCTTGTTCTATAGCAGCGCTCGGCCCAGTATTCCATCCTAGCCGTAGCGCTCTCGGCCCCCCATTTCATCCTTCAGCGCCTAACCTTTGAAAAGTTGCTGCTTGGGAAACTACACATTTTATAAGTTGCCACTTGGAAAATTGTCTTTTGGGAAGTCGCCCTTGGGAAAATGCCTTTGGGAAAATAACTAGAACCCTCTACACTCCTATTAGGAATCTGCATGAGTGTACAGAAGTGCCCATGCAGGCATGGCAGACCAGCATAGACTTGACTCCCACCCCTTAAATTCATACCACTGCAAAGTATACAGATGGAAAAGGTCAATTTTATGTGGCATTTCTGGCTCAACTTTGTGACCTCGTCGCTTCTTTAGTTTTGACTGACTCCTATATATTTGGAACCTGATTGAGTAATGCTATGAAAATTCAAACGTAGATTATTTGATCTAACGAAATATCTAAGGATTACCACATTAGTTTGCAAAGATATAAGAATTAGAAAATAAAGGGTTCAGGCAAAGACACAATTTCTTTAGTAAAACCCTATTTTAAGAGAGTGTAATGTCAAAAGTTGTAAGTTGAATTCCAAAACTTAGAAACATTTAGAACTGACATTATTAATTTTCAAATCAGAAGTCAACATTTTACAAATCACAAATTTCAGTTTTATAAAGATAAAATAAAGATAAAAGATGGTTTTTTCTAATTTTTGATCGCAGCAGGGAAATAAGAAAATCATGTTATAAACAGAATGTTGAAGTGATTTAAGTGGACCCTTCATGATCCTTGATACCAAACCTTTGTCTGGGGAAAAAATCTCTTTATTTTAATCTTTTGATTTACGCAGCAGTGAAAGGATGGAAATCGACATAAATTACTTCTTTTCAATACAGAAAAACGATGATATCTTTAAAATTCTTTTTTTGTTTTAGACTCAACTTTGACGTTAGCTTTTGTCACGTGATTGACAGCTGCAAGATCTTCGACTCGACTTAGGAGTTGGGCCTAATGAAAAAAAACCGACCTTGGTTAGTTTAGTGGAGAATAAGACTCAATGTTGAGTGACTGAGTCTTGTTCTCATGTAAACCCGGAATGAGCATAAAATAAATAAACTTGTCAGATCTGTTCAAGGAAAACAAGACTCTATGAACACGGCTCTAGTAAAGTATCTATCTATCTATATATCTATAGCTTTATATCTAACAATCTATCTATTTATCTATCTATCTTTCTATCTGATTAATATTCCTCTCAGGTTACAATGTATAAAGTGATTACTCTATCTATCTATCTTTATGTACTCTAGCTTGAGAACTCAGCGTTGCCGCGCGCGCCCAGTGTACTCAAAGTTACTTCCACCGTTTACCCGCGATTGGTCGTAAATTACGATTTTAGTTATATTTTCCTATACAATTGGAACCACTTGGAGGCCAAGCTAAGAAAATGTACACGGTTATCCCGAGATAGAAAGACAGATAGATAGACAATACAAATAGACAGATAAATAGACAGATATATATATACTGACAGATATATAGACAGAAAGACAGAAAAACAGACATATATATAAGCAGACAGATATATAAACAGATGTATAGACATATATATAGAAAGATATATAGACATATATATACACAGATATATAGACAGATATATAGACATTTATATAGACAGATATATAGACAGATATATTGACAGATATATAGACAGATAGACAAATCTG